CGGAAGAGAGATTTGCAGCTGCTTCCCGAGAGGAGGATGGATGATGGAACCTGAATCCGATGGAGCGTGACTGTCATTCCATTCCATCACTTCGATCAGCCACTGAATCACTTTTCCCTGACAGCTATCATGTCTATATATTAGCGTTGCTCGCTTTCTCTCGGCCGTTATTTGGAATGCCTCCAAACATCTTCTTCCACGTGTGATCGCTCCATGACCCAAGGCTATGAGGCTCTTGCATGGGGAATCTGCTACTTTTGGAAAACATTGACTTCCTTCTCCTGCTCTATTCCAGATGAAAGTGAGAGTTGCTTAAATTTTTCACTTGAAGATCGTGGCAAGGGCAACTCAGCTGGTGCGTCTCAAGCGTGACAGAGGCCAATGAGGAACAAGGTTGTCTTAGTAAGCATATTTGCACTTCAGTGCACCCTGAAGGAGTTGCAACCTGTTCAGGTTTTTCCCTTTCCCCCTTCCACTTCGTGAGAATTTTCACGCTCATCACTTTCTTGTCAACTGAAAGGAAAACATGCTTCGTAGCTACTCTCTACATCGCTCGAGGTATATTGCACAAGAACGCAATCGCAGAAAGAGGAACTGCACGCGGAAGTCCGTATACCGGTGGCTTTCCAGCAGCAGGTGGGGGAAGCTCCCTGACGAGTGAAGCCATTTTCTTCGTGTGGAGGCAAATACAAGATGTCCGAAACGGGTTAGCATGGAGAGGCTTGTAGTATGGGGTCAATACTTGACCGCATACGTACCGATATGGTGTTGGCACGCCCTTGTACTTTCACGAGTGTGCCTATCGACCCACGCAACTTTGAGTCATGGACGAGAAAGGTCCGGGACTCCTTTGGACGATCATTCCGCATCTTCTGTGCACGCGTGACATCCTATCAAAAATGTCCTCTTCTCTAGAGCGAAAACGGGGTTAAAATGAAAAAAAAGAGAGAGAGAAGAAAAGAATGTAGGATGATTTATATGAACCCATGCACCAATCAAGACTGTGGGTAATTTCCCCCCTCTTTGTATGGTGTTGCCCACACACAAGGAATGTGGGTCTTTGCCACATTCGAGGCCACTCACCTCCGTAAACGCGACGCAGAAAAGAGCAGTCGTTAAGATGATGCCGATTACTAAAAGGAAACTCATAACCTCAACTTTTCCAGATAGTGCCGCTATCTGGGAGCCTTGAAAGTGCCCATGATATCAGACGAGAATCGTGGGCGGAATACACTCGCAAATAAGCCTAGATATCTGACGGTACATCAAGTCAAAGATTTTCTCCTCTAAACAAAAAACTGAGATCCCTTATTCCTGCACTTGTCCATCGTGGGCTTCAAGAAACTCGTAATTATTGGAATTTTCCTCTTCTTCGCTCTCACATTGCGGCAATTTCATCGAAAAGAGAAGGAAATTACATACCCCACGAGTTATTCTTCATCAAGGTAAGCACCGTCGAGAAATAATAGCAAGTATTGAAGTTTTTCTTCTGGGTGGAGAGTTCTTTCCCCCCGGTTTTTTTTTTTCATCTCGGGGTTGTCTCACTGAATGCTCTGAATCCCTGCCGAATGGAATGGTCTAGCGGAACGAAACTGAAGTGACGCGTTCCATTCGAGAGAGATGTAGAGATATCACTGGAAGCCCACGCTGTAAATGTCCACATTTAAAGACTTAATTTTCCGCTGGAAGAACGCTCATTGAGGGGGGTTCGATCATATGGTTGAGATCAGGAAGAGGCATGATGAAACGATTGGACCCGCTTATGTTGATATGGAGGCGGAGGAAGCCCGAGAAATTAAGATGGATGGTTCAATGAGAGCTATGGGAGGAGCGGTATATTGTTTAGCTACCGAGATTACCCTTTGCCTCTGGAATTTATCCCAGTCGGCTTAGTACCTAAAAACCACTTTTGCGATTTTTTCTCCCTTACTTTCCCAGACCGCCAAAGTAAAGGTTCTCCGTCCGTCCAAAAGACAATGAAAGTGGTAGGAGAGTCATTAAAGTGGTTGAAGTTAATGTGCCAGCACGCGGCGGTCTTCAACTGCGGTGTAGAAGCGGACCTTCTTCCTCCATTCACGTCGACTTGTGCAAGGCTGCAGGAGCAGAAAAGGCGTCTGCATAAAACACACCCTTGCATGGGAATTAACATTCCTTATCCGCATTCTAGCAAACTGGGTCACGCGTCTGTCTCGTGAGACCTGAACTAGCGAATCGAGCACAATCGATGGGGAGATACGACAGAGGAGAATTCCTCGGGTCGCCTATTGTGGGGACTGGCGACAGATCATTTCCATATTATGTGTGGCAGTAATAGCCGAGCGGCTGGTCCGTTACCGGCATTCCGATGCGCTTTTCCCGCGGGCATCTGTTCAAGCCCCGTTACAGTCAGAATGTATGGGGTCGGATGCTGCTGCATGGGGAGAGGAGGAGGAGGGGAAGAAGAAAAGGGAGAGAGAGAAAGACAAACTTCGCTTCCCTTCCCCTCTCTCTCTCTCTCTCTCTCCTTCCATCCTCAGACGAGAGCCACTGACGAAGATCCTCAGCTTTTCGGCTACCACTTCCGGACTGGGAAGAAACCCTGGAGGCATACTTGGATGCACGTAATTAACAGTCCTTCAGCTCTCATTTCAACCCTTTCATCCGACTTCAGGTTCCACTCAGACAGTAGCAATCGAGTCTTGACGCCCCCCAAGTACTTGAGAGAAGGCATAACGGGACATGCCTCGAGCATCAAGTGGAATCAGATCGCTCTTCGTCTGGAGTTAAGAGGATGGTCAGGTCACTCATCTTCAAAGAGGAAAGTTTTCGTGTGCCAGGAATTTGGCAGCAAGAAATGGAAGAGGAAAGCGAGATGAGGGTTTCCTTCATGCGAACGGCAAGGAGTATTGGCGGAATGACGAGAAAAATCGGTTCTTTTATTCCTCCTTCCCCTTTGTCGAGCCGGCTCGTAAGCCGGAGACGACCGTGTCAAAGGGAAAAAAAAGGAAACGTCACAAAGGCCGAGAAGCTGCAGTGGAAGGCAGGTACGTGGTGTTCGAGGTAGGAGGGCCGAAGGAGAAACGAAAGGGAAAATCTTCGGACAATAAGTGTGCCCCAATACGTGACAGAACCGTGAAAGTTTTCTCTCGTGTAGATTACATGATTAGAATCATCACGATCGTACGTTTCCAAGGAAAAACACTGAAATCTGTCTTACTCGAGGCATTCTTTTTCCTCAAGACGGAACTTTCTCCGAAGACCTCGTTGTTTGCCATAATGCTCAGCAAACCTGACAGCAGAGGATGTGCCTCGCTTCCTCTGAATACAGCCTGGATGAAATTTCATTCAACAGGGAGGTTCATCTTTAAGTCGACGAACTTTCGCGCATTCTTGGGTGCAAACAATAGATCGTGGAGGAAGGAGGCGGAGATAGTAGGTGGTTGCTTTCCATTCTGACATACATACATGCATGATAGGCTCTGAAGGTATCAAGGAAAAGAGAAAAAGAGGAATCACGAACAACCTCCTTTCCTCTTCCACGAAACCAAACCAACCCGGCCGACCTCGCACTCCTACGTGAAGCGGCTTTTGCCGTGAGGATTCGACACGGGCAATTAGGCTCGCTGTACAGCTGGGCCCTCTCTCCTTCCATCCAGGTGATGGTCATCTCATTCCTTTCAGCTCCTCATTTCTACCGAGAAAGTGGTACCTATGCTTTTTTTCTCCTCGTTGGCTGCATGACTCGGCATGTACTAGGTTCCAGGAAAAAAATCTTGAAACCCCCCTACCCCCCTTGCCCCCTCCCCCCTCCTCCCTCCCCCCACCTCCCAGACAGAATGGCTTCGGTTCGCCACGCATCGTGGAAAGCATGAAAAATTTATCGATTTCTCTTTCAGGTATGCTGTTTCCATTACCCTCCTTTCACGTTGAATATTTTCTGGGCTCCATTCTTTGCATTTGCAGACAATGGCACACAAATTTCATCATGACATAGCTAGATTTACAAGTGCAAAGATACAACATATCATCACTTCCGGATACGGCACACACTGTAAAAGATGTCATACACGCACATTCAGTTTAACCGAACTGTGTCCCGTCCTAACTCGACTTCCTACGGGACAGATACACGTTATCCTCACGTTACCATGGATTCTTCACGGCAAGAGAAAACAGCATTCAATGTCAAGAATGCTTTGTTCACAGCCATTCGAAGGGCTCGAACACGTGGCCGTTCGTCAAGGCGAGAAGATTAAAAGGTCATCCCGGATTACCCATTAGCCACCATAACGGGTAATTACTGTTTATGTCCTCTCGCATTATTCAAAGAATCATACCTTGTGATCAGCAATCGGTGCCATGAATACGGGGAAGGCGGATTTTCATCCCACGGTGACGTGAACAAAGCGGGGAAAACACGCGAAGGCCGGCGTGCACGTGTTGCGTTGTGTTCGTCGTGAGCGCATGAGCAAGACTGACCGAGACCGTAGGCCGTATGGACTCCCCGTCTCCGGCCGCCGTCCATTCCCCCACCATCTCTCGTGGGATGACTTTCGACTTCGTCGGTCGGCATAGAACCGGGTCTCATTAGCCTCCGCATGAATAAAAGTGGCCTACAGACACACCCTACCCTATCTATCTATGTTCTTTGCATGATTTCGAGTGGTTATGACATCTTCGCCCATTTCGACGAGTCGTGTCGTTTCGTCCTGTATTTAACTCTCCCGCATCATTCCGCTTACGTTTCATGATTTCACGCTCTCATTCGTCGTTCAACAATCGATTACGTCTTCTCGGTCGCCAGCCTCAGGCTTCAAGAAGAAAATTAGATTCGATAAGGGGTAGGCTGACACGATTATCACTTCTTCCTATCGTTCCACCTTCGGGCGTACGTGGGTGAACCTGGAATCAGTGATCCGTGGAGAAAATCCCCCTCGTGCTCGCCCTCTTACTGGGCTTACGACATTCTGACGGATCCCCGTTGCCACGTCGGCGATCTTCGACTGCTGAGAGACGCTAACCTGTACAATGGAGGGCTGCATGAGATGATTCTTCGCAGCTGCCAGCCGATGTCGAAGGTGCTTGCACTGTAGTTTCCATCTTCGAGCTTTCTCCTCATTCGTCTCACGCGCTTCCTGCATGACAAAAGTCTTCCTTTTCGGGTCCGTTTTTCAAAAGCAACGAGGTAACGGAATGTTACAAAAGAAGTCATTCCAAGATGTCAGAAGAAAGAGGGAAGAATTCTCTTAAGATTTAGGATGTGCTGTTTTAAAAAATCGGTGTCGGCGAGACTCCCCAGAGAAGCGGAAGTCGACCGAAACCGGCTCCCAAGTTGCACGCTCGATCGGCCTCCATTCGCCTCTTGGTCTGGTAGGATTTCATTTTACGATGACTTCTTTTTTTTCTTTTTCTTTTAATATTATCCATTCTTCCAGTACTCAGCCTTAGTGGCCTGTCCTTGTTCCCTGCTTTGCAATGGCAGGCGTTGCGTCTCACCTTGAGCGATTGCTGCAGTTTCCACCTGGTGTCTTTCTGCGTTCGGAGTTCCTTCCGAAGTCGCTCCGTTTCCCGTTGCCTCAATTTCAGGGATCTTTCCTCCGTTTCCCGACGATCCCTGAGCTCTCGTTCGAGGTCGCGGATCCGCTGCTTGTACCCTTCCAGGGATTGCTGAGCCCTTGACGCGAGGCGACGGATTTCGGCTTGCTGCTCGCATTGCCAGTGATGCATCTCCGCCATCATGCTCGAGTGCATCCTTCCTACCTCATACCTCACCTTCTCCTCGTACAGCCTCTCCAATCTGCCTCGTGGCGGGGGGGAGAGACGGAATAACTGAGGAAGAGCCGGCAGACAACTTATGGCAGTTTTGAAGCCGGTTTTCTGCATTCCACCTGTCTTTGGCGTCTAGGAGCCGCTTCTTCCATTTATTAGCTTCCGCTTGTGTTGCTTCGCGAATGAGATGAGTTATGCTGGATGACAGCTTCGTGCGAGCTTTCGTTCTGTCCTCACGCTCCATCTTCTTTCGAGATAGCTAAAAAAGAGAGAGAGAGAGAGAGAAAACAGCACAAAAGGGCTAGAAGGGAAAAAAAAACCACCCCAGCTGCAATTAGAGAGAGCTTCCTCGAGAAAATCAAGAAGATGTGAGCAGAAAATCGTGCAGACTTTCACATGAAAATTCCCAGCACTTCTGAAGGCGTTCATTATCTAGAATTGGGTTTAGAGAATTCAAAATCGTGCCGGATCTTTTCTTACCTTTCGTCGAAATCAAATGGTGCGTGTCGTGAATATAGTCGGAGGTCGTCGCGACATGACCGGTAAAGTCGTCGATCGGAATTCAAAGTCGAAAGTCGAAACGGGCGGCGAAGAACTGTCACCACCCGACCACCCGCGATCACCTGCCTTGTACAGGGTCGACGGAATTGGGAACTGCCACAAGTCCCATTCCATATACATGCGCCTGGAATCTGCAAGGATCGTTCCAGCGGCGGACCTCTCCCCTCGGCACCCCCATTTAAACACGGTAGTTGCGACTGCAGAGAAGTTCGCACGGCAGTAATCGAAGATCACGTACGACGCAGACGTTGCCGACTTCGGCGGGGATGAAGGAACGGCGGGTGAATAAAAGGCCCGATCCCCGCGCGAGACGAGAGAGCCGCTCCGCTGCTGTCTGGACCTGGTATTTTTGGACGCGCCAGTGCCAAAATCCCGGAGAGCTCATTTATCAGGAGAGCTCACAAGGTCAGCGCTGCAACTCTTTTATTGACTCTTCCAAGGGTCGAGGTACGATCTTGAGGTCCTGATACACTGGGCGAATACTTGCTACAGAGTGAGCAACTGTCGTGTAACATGAGACGAGTTCTCGCTAGCAAGTGCTAAACGAGTGAGCCTAACGAGCACTTGCCAAGTGTAACAGGGCCTTCACCGTCGCAAGCGGAAGGTTTCTGAAGACTGCAGTGGATCTCTTGAGTAAGAGCTTGGAGACGGTTTCTTGGTGACAAATATTGAATTTAATCATTAATATGCATTTGTTCCATACAGAGAGCGGATGTCATTTGGAGATACAAATGCGAAGAGACAGACACAAATCCAAATCTCCTTTTTTGCAGATTCATGTGCCCTCGGAGCAGCCAACAAAATATGGGTGGCATGAGTCGTGGAGGTGGAAACTGCTTCTGGATAGGAAATACTCGGAAAAGTTCTGGAAAGGGTACCACGGGACACTGGTGCACCACTGAGGAAGCGGGAGCCCGCCGAGACCAGCTCTCGACATCTGGGGATGATATTTGGAACTGCCGTTTGTCCCCTCTGTCTCCCAGGTCGCAGGAGCATCCACGTTCGTCGTCGAGCCCTTCTCCTTTTTCATCTTCGTGCGCCGATTCTGAAACCAGACTTTCACCTGTGAACAACCCAACGAGATGAAATAAGTTTCCCGAAAAAAAAAAAGACTATTCGAGATGATTTACGAGATGATTGACCTGAGTCTCCGTGAGTCCCAATTCCTGCGATATCCGCTTTCGCTGCGAGGAGGAAATGTAGGGATTTTTCGAGAATCCTTCCTCCAACACCTGAAGCTGCTCGGGTCGAAACGCCGTTCGGGCTCTTTTGGGTCGAGTTAGGTCCAGTGACTTCGGCAGTACCAGTCGCTTTATTCGCCCTTGATTGTCTGGCATACCCGAGGATGCACAAGTCCGTTCAATAAAAAAAAAACCGAGTTCTGATTCAAATAGGCCGATATCATCGATTAGCGAATGAACTAAGTTGATCAAACTCGCACAATTTCCATGACTGATTAGGCAGCGATGCATGATGTGGTGGAAGTGGATACAGATTTTGATGGCTGAGTTTCGGTTTTGTAACTTCACAGTTTGTCTAAAATGTCTCAGAGGATGACGTTTCTTCTGTCCTAACTCGAGTTTCCACGAGGCCTAATTGCGAGACAGAGACGAAAAGAAGCGACGCCTATCTAGCGCCATCTCTATTGAGTTTTTGGACGAACTTAACGAAAATGATGTAAATGGCAGGTGAAGTTTCAGAGTATTTCCTATCTCCACGAACAAAATTAGCATCCATATAACTTTTTCCTGGGAGAAGGCAAGAATGCCGACATACTCCAAAACGATTCGATTGGCGGGAATTCGTATTTAACCTACAATCTCGCCTACGAACTGCGATACCATCGAGAACAGGCTCTCGTTGTTTAGGCAAAGCAGAAATTTCATACCGAGTGCCTGTACCATGCCGTTGTGAATTTCGGCTATCAAATGATGGTGCCTCTGCCAAAATCAGCTTCCCGATCTCATATAGGGGGGAAACACGTGGAAATACCCACCTTTGACGTAGACGGTCTTGCAATAAGAAGGAAGGCCAGAGTCACCAGCGTCCATCACGTTTACGACCTGATGTCAGCACGAAAGAACTGTCGGGTCTGCCTCCCTGCCTCACTTCCTTATATGCCGGGGGAAAAAAGGGAGAAGGTGAACGAAGTCAGATATTATCATAATTGGTCAAAGAGCTTAGATTACAAATGACAAGACTGTAAACAGCGACGGAGCCAGACGGCTTCCTCGATCGGGTTACCCGGATCCTATCTCCCTCCTCGGCAGAGGGCATTATTACGTTTCACAGGGTTCTTGCGCTCTCGTCATCTACTTCTGTCAGGCATTTAATTCCGATGCAGGCGATTGATTTCCCGTGGCGACCTACTGACGGGACACCATCGTGCACAGCCGTCGTCGCAGAAGCTCTAAATTTCACGACTTCGGTGGAGTTTCTTGGAGGTTGCTGTACAGCGGCACAGCGTATGGGGAGCAGGGGAGGGGGAGGGCACGTGTCCCCCCCCCCCCTTTCCTTTTCAGAAGAAAAGAAAAAGTAAGAAGCAAAGACCCATGAAATGCATGAGTACAGTGTCTCAGAATTCCCATGTTCCCCCCCCCCCCCCACTTTTTCCATCCACGTGCATATGTCACCGTGAAACCCTTCCTCGTATTTCTGGGACCAATCGTGAAAGTATCTGGTGCCGGTCGATGCGTTGCGTTTCCATGCTTTCCTTGAGGGCGTAGAAACACGAAGCAGAGCGGTGGGGTGGAGGCAGACGCGGGTGGCGCCCATCGGTGGCTCCTATCGGCGTTACTTGACACGTGGGAGACGCCGTCGCTCGGAAACTGTCGCTGATAAAACACCTCCGTCACGGAAAACATCGACCGCGAAGGGGTTGATAAAGGGGTTGTGATGAAACCCGGCCTTTTCTGATGAAGCCTCGAGGTGACGAGATTTTCAGCTTTCGTGATGGGCGCCGCGTTTTCAGTTTCAGAGGGGTATTTTTTTGTCACGTTCCTCAGGGCTGTTTTTCGCCTATGCTAAATCTGAATCAAATCAGATTTCAAAGCAACGTACAGGGTGTCTCGAAAAAAGTTAACGCTGCCTGATTCAATTTTTCTTGAATTAAACAAAACTTTAAAAAAGTTATTTCCGCAGCCATAAAGAAGAAAGATTAATCTCTCGTTTGCTAAACATCGCATGAAAATTGATCAATTCTGAAGAGAGATGTGAGACTAAGAATTAAATTTGAAGAAATTTACTTTCACAATGTCATTGAAGGATACGTTCAAGATCTGTCTCTCTAACACGTTGTCAGGTACACCTTCAGCTCCTTAACATTTCTGCATTGATTTTTGTTTTTTGGCAATCATGTCTGCTCCTAAAACGTCGATCTAAGTCTAAATCGAATTTAAAAGCAGCCTAATACCAAAAGTCAATTGCTTGCTTAAGCTAAAAAAAGGGGTGATTCACGGTGAAACATGGTCTAAAGGCGAAATATTTTAAGACCGCTCCGAACCAGTCTAAATGTGTCAGAAATGTTTAGATGAAGAAAAAGGACTCTCAGTATCAAAAGCCTGCTGGACTGTTCTGAGAGTGATGCAACATTTAAAAAGTCATTCACTTTGGATGGAAATGGCCATTTGCCAAGGCGAGCCAGGTATGTTAATCGATCGTGCAACCGTGCATAATCGAGTCCACGGCCACATACCTCAGTAAATGTGATACCGACCGTGATTTCCGTTCACTTCGGCATTTTAGATTGCATTTAAACTGGGTTCGGAGCAGTCTAAAAATATTTCTCATTTCAGGCGAAATTTAACGCGAGTCTAAATGTTACTTTTGGCGAGAAACAGCTTTTTTGCTGTTTGACTGCATTTAGATGGCATCTAGATTTAGAACGGCGGCTTAAAAACGCGGGGAACAGACTTTTTTGCTTTTTACATTACTTTGGAATTTAAAGTAGATTAAGGTGAGATTAGATTTAGATTTAGTTTAGGCAAGGAACAGGCTTCTGCCAACACTATATTGTTGGAGTACGGAAGTTTCACGAATCCTTATCCGAAGATATTAGGAGTGTAGGCGGAAAAGGGGGAATCGGGAATGTGCCAGAGAAATGCTTGCTTTGACGCTGCTTTCGGGACGAGTCGAGATATTTTCAGTTGGAGGGCTGGCTCCTCCTCCCACGCTTTCGTGATGGATGCATGCCTGCACTTCCTCCCCCGCTTGCTTACCTGCCTGGCTCCATTATAAGAAAGAAACCCTATCCGCTTCCAAGTCACCAGAAAAAAGTCATCGAACCATTCATCCCTCCCAAAATCCTCTGGCAACGAGCAACGAACTGATCTATGTATACCATGATCTTGCTGAAGATGATTAGAAGGTGACCATGGTCATCATGCATCACGTGATTTGTGTTCGAGTCTTGCTCCAAAAAAATGCTCTGCATTGGTCGGAAAAAATTTATTTATAACATCGGTAACAACGATTCCGAAGTCCTTGTTAAGAAGACCGTGGATGGCATCATGCCATCTCTCCTGGTGAGATTGGCACACAGCCTGGAGCGGATCTCGGAGATTGTGAATGACAGCGGATGGTTGCATTGCGTTTGCAAAGGTCATAATAACAAAAGATAAGAAACATGATAAGCAACGATTGTAAGAAAAAATAATGAGGGATATCGTTGCTACGGATCGGAACGAACACACGAATACTTTGTTATCTTGAGAACGAGTCGAACGAGCAAGCGTAAAATCATTTCCCATTTTTCGCCAAGGTACGATGTGAGAGGAATACGGAGAAGGGACACATCCAAGAGAGAGAGGGAAAAATGGCATGGACGAGAAAGATGAAGGAGCGAATGATCCGATGTCGCATTCAATCGTCGAGGGGTCTCTCGTTAGGATTCAGGCCTTGGTCACGTCGCCAACACGCGATGCGGTTGGAGAACCACATCTGTCGAGACGGACGGAACGAGATCTTCAGGCCAAGAAGGAAGGAAACAAAGAGAGAGAAGGATTTAAAGACGAGGAGACTCGCCTGCATCTGCTCCTCGGTGATGCCCATCTCCAGAGCGAGGATCCCGAGTTCGTTTGGGTTCGGGTTCTTGGAGGTGGCGAAGAATCTCTCCAGTTCTCTCTCTTGTTCCGGCTTTAGACGCGGCAGACAGTACTGGGGGGCCAGCTTCGATTGAACCGTTTCG